TTTACTACTTGGGGTGTAGGGTTGATAAAATATTTCCGGATCTTTGTAAGACGCAGAAGGATAGATCCCCTTTAAGACTGGGGATAAGCAACATTCTTAGCTTAGAACTTAAAAATGTGTTTTCAACTTAAGATCACAGACGAAAATTGATAAACATTTAAAAGAGCTGTCTACCGCTTGCGGTAGGGGTATACTAAGGTTGTGCGCAAGTACGCAACAAGCAGACTAGTTGGAAGGCTATTCCAGTCGGCTTAAATCTGGCTGCCAGTCTGTTCTGTCGAACGAGGGGGGTTATGTTCACTATGTCAAAACACCACAAAGTATATATATTCTTGATCAGTTTCAAATTCGGGATGCAACAGTGTAGTATCTGTGTGAGCATTCTTCTGTTCTGTGTAAATTGGCAAACAAAGATAGAAGTGAGCTAAACTTTCCAAGGACACGCTTGCAACGCCCACATGTCCAACGAAAACTTTTATTATGATAGTAGAAAAAATCAGCCATGCCACCCTTTACTATAGAGCATGAAAATTTAGCTGTGTTACTTGCTTTATCTTGTTTCAGATGACAGTGATGGCTACAAAAGATTCAATCATGACAGAATATAATTTTCTTGCTTGTCTTTGTTCAACATACATGCATCGACTTTCGGGACATTTCAATGAAATTTGGTATTTTGATAGGTTTTGGCCGAAATACAAAAGCTGTTAAAATAGATTTCATTGGACTGGAGTCCACGTGAAGCGTATCGTGAAAAACTCATTACATAACAAGCATTTTGCATTTTTATTATTTCTCGCTAACATCCGGTTGAAGATAATACGCTGACATGCTCTATGAATTTCATTCTTTTGCATTTCCATCTACTGGTCTGTCCACCTGGTCTTCTAATCAACTGTATGGTATGTCTAGCCCGTTAGCGAAAGTGAACTGAATAAAAGTGAAAATTTATATAGCGTAGCTGTCTGCATAATAGTTTATGATTACCAATCAAAAGAAATTTTCATTTTATCAATTTTTTTTTCCGATATAAACGCAAAAATTTTATTTTCAACTGAAATAAATATATTCAGTACTACTTCGATTTATTAATTAATTAAGTAAAGTCGACGAATAAAATGCTTTTACTTGACAGCAGTTTTCGTGAAAAGTAAACTAAAGCTTTCACTAACTGAACGTATGACGAAAATAGAAGAATGCTTGCATGAGACAAAGTGGCGTAAGGTATTTAATAGTCGTCATTTCCCCATTATTACAATTTAATTATTTAAATATTTTATTTTGTTGACCTTAAGCTTGAATAAAAATTTCCAATGGACAAATATTATTTAGAAGTTTTTGAAAATTTAAAATTTTTTATCGATAATTTTGGTAAACTCTTTAGAGAATTTTCCTTCATTATCTGTTCATTCGAAAATGCATGAAATGAAAATTTGATTTATTATTGTTATTGTATGTGTGTTTGTAGTAAGTAAATACAATTTCCGAATTGACCATTATAAGCGATCTTTGCCCTAAACTCTCTCTCTCTCTCTCTTTCTCTCTGTCTCTTTTTTGGAATTCGTTTTTCCCTTTACTTTGCAAAAGACTGCATGATTTGCTATATGCAATTTCAACGTTTGGTATGTGAAAATAAAATGTGCTCACGTCAAATAGAAACCACTTTACACAAACCATTACATCATGAATTGACCGACTTCGTATACATATGCATAAAATGCATGCATAGAGGGCATAAGCATTGATGTGTATGAGTATTTGTTTTTAGCAAATATTGAATTGTGGTCAATGGTCAGATGACCAAATAGATTTCAACATTTATTTGTATGCCAATCTCTACACAAATATCTAAACAAATACTATATGTAGGATAAACTTTCTATCTCTCTCTACCATATATATATATATATTTGGTACGTTAGATTCGCTCTGACGCTTTAAGCTTTCCCACAGATATAAATTTTCATAGAAATACTGAAAAATGCAATCATATAAAGAAACAAAAAAAAAAAAAAAAAAAAAAAACAGAACAGAAAACTTCTCTTTATATCTTAAACACATGTGCATTATTTTGACAATATATTGTCATATGTTGTATAATTGAATTTTGTGTTGTTAAGCAAATAAAGGAATATCTCCTTATATTTCTCAGACAATGGAGAAAAAGAGAAATTGTTACCTATACGATAATCTACAATAGAATTAAACCTCAAATCTTTATTATTTAATAGGATTATTAGAAAAGATTTATAATGTTGATCGTAAATTGTGTGGTTGATTTAAGAAAGCATTCGAACTTGTTACTATTATTGTGAGGATGAATTCATTCTAATTGAATTATTAGTAATTAAAATTGAGATTTAAATTGATTATGTGTCTAAAATTTGCAAATTTGCGTCGAAAGATTTATGATGCTATTAGGACTATTTTTCTACTCCAATTTTAGATTTTAAATAATTATCTCTTTCTATGTGTGTGTGTGTATGTATTTTATGTATTTATAAATTGATGGATTTCATCCAACTTATCCGAAATGAGTGCATTGTTTTTCATTTGAATATGTGGTGGACAGAGATGAATTGAATTAATCTGATAATCAAACGTACATATATAACGTCCTTATTTATCTCAAGTAAGTTAGGTTGATCAAAGAAATGAAAGTGTTTATCATTTACATATTGATTGCGTAAAATGAACGGTATGCACATTATAAACAAGTGGTTTCAACAAACAACAAAGCCTTGCATGGTATCACATTGGCATTGAAACCTTCCACTTACTGCACGAAAAATTTCAAAGTCATTTTATCAAATGCCACAACTTACCAAGTTTGACCTTTGATCTTTTTTATTTAAATTGCCTTCAGAATGATATATATAATAAATTAAAATTATTTTCTTCTTCTTTTTGTTTTCTAATATGACCAATCGCTCAGTGCATGTCAAACATATGCGTAACATGACGATGGTTAGAAAAAAGTGGGAAAAGAGAAACGTGATAGGGAGCGGCTGCAGCCTAATGAGTGTTTGCCCAAGCGGCAAATCTTATACCTTTACCGTTTAAGCACGCGCTATAATTACAACCAAGTATGTTCAAACTGCACAGAGATTAGAACCGAATTGGAGAGAATGAGAAGGAAATTTGACGCAATGCCACGTATACTTTATTTAAAAATGTTTTCGGCGTTGCTTAAGAAATTGAAAGATCTATCGAAGCCTTTATCAGGTCGAAATTCTTTAAGCGCAATAACATTCATTTTCAAGGCTATTGATAACTTTCGAAATGTTGCAAGAACTTATTTTCAAGTCTCTTCCTGCTCTGCGTTAATGACTAATGTAGTATTCACCTTTAAGTCATCATTTACGGTCTTACGCTTTTGTTATACACCGAAGCTAGATCCTGAGTCGCACTAGTTTTTGAAAGACCAGAGAAGAAGCCTCGCAAAGACTTAAACGATCGAAATGTTTTAAACACGAAGAAAAACGACATTATTATGATTTTTCATGCTCATCGCTATATTCTATAAAGATCATACACTTTTGTTTACTTCTTCTTAACTTTCTCAACCGGTAGCTTCTGCATCTATAGAATTCCGTCATGTACTACAACTAAAATTGTATTTCATAACATTAACTTGTCTTCCTTTTTTAAATCGAGTATTAGTTAGAGTTATTGTATACAGATTTTCGTAATATCTACGCTTGTTAATTAAGGTGTGTTCTGCTTATTGCCTTTCACAAGAAATTTTTTTTTTTTTAAGAAACTTTTGCTTTTTTACGATTAATGACACTACCGAACTATGTCCATCTGTCCGGCTATGTATCGACTTCAAATTTGGCAGAAATATGGAAAGTTCTTGCACGCAAGTTGGTATTGAAGATAGGCAAAATCGCGCCAAGTACACGCCCACAACACCTCGTAAACTGATAACAACTCTGTTTTTCAAAGCGCAAAAATTTTAATGCATTTTCTATGGGCGACGATCTGTGTATAAAAATGGAAAAAATTGATCACGCCTACCCAAAAACATAATGTATCAAAATTTTATAATTTTTTCAATACCTTCATATCGCACAGAAACAAGCTTCGAAAAAGTGTACAAATTCTTGGTCAGATACAACTCTTGAATGCACCTAAACATGTCCGCCTGTTCGTCTGTTTATCTGTCTGTTTGCGTAACTTTGGAGTATTTCTGGGAAACATTCTCCCCTTAGCGAAAATGAAGATATCGTGTAAATATTTGCAAAAGAATTTAGAATTGACCTAAACTTTTCAAAGGACATGTCTACAACGCCCAAATGCCTCTGCAACTGCGCCCACTCCATATTATAGGGCATGAGAATTTTGTTCTTTTACTTCTTTTGTCTTTTTTGGGGGTAAACAGTGATGGGTATAAAAGATTCGATCCTGACCGAATTTAATTTTCTTACTTATTGCTCTTTACATTAAATTCAGTATAATTTTAATTTGATTTAAAGCAAAGTCTAATTTCCTTTTATTTTATTTATTGAAAAAAAAAAAAAAAAAAAAAAATTAATGAAACTTGAAAAATATATTGAAATTAAGTAATTTTTTATATATGCAACAAGTTCGTTTTCAATAAATTTACCTTTAATCATGTAAACCTTATCAAATTTTTTATGTAATGCTTGTTTGCTTGCTTGCTCGCTTGCATAAAAGTGTCTATTTAACTTACCTTCCCATGGACAGCCTACAATTTCAGCTCTTAGGCATACGGTGCGATCGTATTGACTGTATGGATAAATGCGCACCTTTGATGCAAAAATGATCGGTTGCAATATATTCTCCACTTCGCTATAAGTGTTAATATTTCCGGGCAATATCTGTGTGTAAAGCAATAACAACAATAAGCAAAGATAAGAAACATTAGCAGAGCAAACGTTGTCTTTTTCTTTTATAAACGTATCAGGGAAAAAGGTGTGGGTGCTGTCTCTCCAGCCTTTTCGCTTTGGTTTTTTGTTTTAAGTTTCGCATGTTATGAAAAATAAATAAAATTAATGTTATAAAATTGTTTTTGTTTATTTATTTATTTTTTTTTTTTGTTTTTTTATTACAATTTTTTTACTTTTTTTTTTCTTATTCTCTTGCATTTTTCTGGTATTATTGTTGCAACCTTTTAACTTATGATATAACTTGGCATGCTAGCGTGCTAAATTGCTAACCATAAATCTGCGGCTATGCTATGCTAGTCCGGCTAAGAGAACGTGTTGTTTAAGAAAATTAAAAGTATATACGAAGAAAGAAGTTAAACAACATTGAGAACGTTTATAAAAAAAAAGGCAAAAAACTATTTAACCAAGGATAAGTTGCGGTGATGGGCTGTAAGGCCATCAAATAGAAGATGTGTTATCTGGTTGTTAAACACCTACGCTGGTTATGCGAATGCTTTGGCACGTTTTTGTTTTTTCCTTCTTGAAAGTTCATTGATGTTAGTAACTGTTAACGGCAAAGCATAAAACGAATGTCGCAAATGATCTATAATTACGAGTTGAAAAACAAAACTCGGAAGAAGAGTAAAATTATTAAAGTAGCAAAGAGGTCTAAAACTATAAAATAAGATATGGATAGAAGTAATACACACAGCTAAGTTATGCTTTTATTAGTTATAGGTTGCGTAATATATTTTCTTTAATATGAGGAAACTTTTACTTTGCAAGTAAAGTACTTGGCAAAGTAAACGTTACAAAAAACATAATATACCATTGACTACATTGTAGCATCAATTGATTGCCATTTTCACACTCTGACTAGTTCCTTAAAGTTTTTTTTTTTTTTGTTTTTTTTTTCATTTTATAAACATTTTTAACGATTATTATCTCTCTCTCAGTGATTAATGTGTGAACGGCAAAAGGAGTCTTATTGCCAAGCTTTGACCTTAAGGCTAATAAACATACCTCTTTGCCTTGAAAGGTTTTCCATCGTTTCCACTTCTCCATACCGGGACGCCAATATTCAACTACATAAGCCTCCGTATACTCTTGGCCTTGGCCTTTACCGAAACGTCCCTGAGTACGTACGGACGTGATGACATGCACTTGCAACAAATCAATTTGCAAATATTCCTTTAAGCCACGCGATACCATATGTTTCGGACACCAAGCACCACCATTATTATCAACTTTTAATCTGTCAATTGTAAGGGAAAAGAAAGCAAAGGGAAGAGAAAGAGAGAGAGAGAGAGAGAGAGAGAGAGAGAAAAAAGGGAAGAAATAAATGAGTTTTCGCGCTCAAATGAATTAATAAATTAAAAGCATATTTTCAAAATTGAATTGCACGGAAAACAAGTATGCTATCGTATATGAGCAAATGGGCGTGGGTGGATGTGTATGCAATAAAATCAATAAGAATTTTTATTTTTTTTTATTTTATATTTTTGTCATACATTAAGCGATTAATTTGCTATCGACAACAACAGCGATAACAGGTCGACACTACAAACGTTCTTTTGCCATTTGCTTGTAATTAAATATTGGTGCTGATATGTCAACTTCTGTTGTTGTTATTGTTGTTGTTGTTGTTGTTGTTGTTATTATAGAACTGCAAATGGTCCATGTATATTTATAGATTCGAGTGTAAATACTTTTAATGCATGTTTTATATCTGATTATAACGATAATATGTTTCATACAATGTGTTTGCAGGCATCCGAGAGTATTGGTAGTTATTTCATTAATTAAAAATAATTGGTTCTATATGAATGTTTGCAATTCTATATATGTATATCGCTTTATTTAAATACACACATGACCCTTTCATATACTCTCAAAAATAATTCACATATTTCAGTGTTCGTATGAAAGAATTTTAATTACAAATTATTTAACAGATAAATAATTTCGATTAAATGTGCTGAAATTCGGCACTTAATTCATTTGTTGTTGTTGTTATTGTTGTTTCTTTTTTTTTTTTTGTTTTTTTTTTTTTTCTTTCTCTCTTTTTTTTTTATATAATACTTTATTTTATTCAATTAATGCCCAAAATTATGCAATCGTTTTACATTTTATCGAAATAATCTAAAATATGTTATGCGATATTTTTCTCTACTAATGGGTATGTTTTACGCCCAAAATATTTTAATTACATTGTTAAGTATATATATTTACACTCATACAGTAAAAAATCAAGAATTTTATGCTCACTTCCCAAGTCCATTAAAGTAAAGCAGATTTTTGTACGTTCGTCAATTGCATATCGTATAGCTTTTCATATCAAAGAATAACATGTATATGCAACGCCCAGAAGGAAGCTTCAGAAATCATACAAACTAAAATCTTGATCCGTCTTTCCCTCCGTGTGATGTATTTTCTAAGCATTCTCCTGGCCGCAAAAGTAAAGCTTTACTACTTCAAATTCGGTGGAAACGTTAGAAGTTCTTGCACGCAAGTTGATATTGAAAATGGGCCAAATGGGTCACTGAACACGCCTACAGTACTACATCAACTGAAAAGACTTCTGTTGTCCAAAAGCAATAAAAGATTGATTGTTTGTCCATTACTCATAAAATGCAGCAGATAAATACACAAAAATTTAGACGTATATTCTGTGGGTGATGGTGTAGTACTCGCACAAAAACGGGCAAAATTGACCATGCCTAAACAATGTTATTGTCTACCAAAATTTAATTTTTTTTTCAATACCCTTATAACGCGTAGAGGAAAACCGCAAATGCGTCAAAAAGTATATAAATTCTTGGTCAGTTTCAAATTCGAAATGCACCTAAGCATGTTCGTATGTCCATCTGTCTGTCTATCCATTTGCCCGCCTCTATATCTGCCTGCCTGTCCATCTATCCGTCTGTCCACCTATTGGTCCGCCGAACTGTGTAGCACCTGTAGTGATATGAAGACATCACTTACAAACTTGCAGAAGATTTTGAAAATGAACCAAACTTTACAAAGAATATGCCTACAATGCTTACACACCTACGTAACAAAAACTGTAAAAAACTTTTCTTGCTTTTGCTTTGAGTCTAAAGATTGCACCAATCAGTCGCGGCCACCCAATATAGATAATTGTTTTCCTTTTTTTTTAGTGTAAATGCGTATCGGACTGAGCTTTTTCGGGCTACATTTTTCGAGATATTTTGATGAAATTTGGTACAATAACGTGTTTTAGCCCAACGACGAACACTATTGAAAATTTTTTGAATCATATCACTTTCTCGACCATTTTCCTAATAGCGCTTTATTTTGAAAAGTCTATGTATGAATATCTGTTGCTTAGTGTAGGATATTTTATGTTAGACCTTTGCCCAATTATTTTTCTATTCATGTTTGTTTGGAGCTGTGAAATCTGAGCGTAGGCAAAATCACCGAATAATTGCAATCTTTCTACCTGAGTTGCCTGAGTAGAGAAAAAGATCTCGATTAAGAACTCAATGGTCGCGGGTTCAAACCTCAAGTGGGGTAGAATTTTCAGTAAGGTCAATAGCCTTAGATGTCTAGTGCTTTTATGTCTTGAGATCTCAGAATTTAAATCTCTGGCTGAATTAATAGCAATAATAATAGTTAGGAAAAACTAAAATTTAAAGTTATTTCTGCCTTACTTTATAAAGTTAAGCTAAACTAAACTAAGGCACTTTCTACTAACGATCATGTGCAAAATTAATCAAATAATAATTTCGTTTGAATTTTTTTTTTTTGTGTTGATTTTTTATTTCCAAAAATGCTGAAACGTAATACAGCCGCAACCGCCTAATGTGTAGCACTTCTTTAGGTGTGCAATCCAAATATGCATAAACGCAAAACGAAGCTAATTTCTTGGGGCCAAAGTACTTAGTATGATATAAAGTAAACTTTTTATTCAAGTGGAGCAAAGTTTAAATAACGTTGTGACTCTTCTTCTTACTGAAATCTGTAGCAGTTATCCCTGACTAACTCATGAAATGAGAGAGACAGCACACTTGACAACGTGTCACACCGTAGCACTATTATATTTTTTTTTTTTTTTTTTTTATGTTATTCTGCATAAATATTCTTGTTTCAAGCGCGATGTAAAAAGGAAAAGGAAAAAACGAATTTGATAAGAGAAGGGAAAATATTTACGATTTTATCGTTGATAAACTTTATCCACTATATATTTTAAATATATGTGTGTCGTTTGCAATGAGTTAGTATTACCTTTTACGGTTTAAAAATATTGACTCGGTTTAAAGAGAATGAAGAGCGCGCAATATTCAATGGAATGATTTCGCTGGAAACGGTAAACTATAATTTAAAGATTTTTGAATTTCTAGTGAATTAAGAGGTCAGCTTCTATAATTCAGATCCTTGAACGGGAAAGATTGAAAGTAAGAAAGATGATTTTCCGCTGCAGATGTAATCACGAGTTTTTCTCTTTTTTTATTTTGCAAAAGCAATGCGAGCATTCTACGAATTTTATGGCTTTTGTTTATAACGCTTTGCAAGATTTGTAAAATTTCCCTATGGAAACATTACTATTTCATTAACATTATTACAATTTTAATCTTTTCACTTTACTTTCTTGTTTTCACAAAGTTTTTCCAATTCCGAAATTTCTTTGGAACTTCTTTTCAGCACGATTGACACATTTCATTCCACGACAAGTGTTGTTTCGTACAACGAGGACCTTGTAAAAGTGTTTTTGCTTTACTACGTAAATTTAAATGAAATTTCAAGTCATCTTTTTCTCAAGTAAATAAAATTTTAAAAATAATTGAAAAGCTATTATGAGACATGACTAGCAACTCAATGGTCGTGAGTTCAAATCTCAAGTATGATAGAGTTTTTATTAAAGGCGAAAGCCTTAGCTAGTGCTTTAAGTCTTAGAATTTATTCGCTGGCTAAAATTATAATAATAATAATAATAATATTATTATGAGATAAAAGCAAAACTATAGCAAGGCCTTGCAGAGCTCAAAGATCCAATAAAACAATAGACTCAATTTTCTGTTGGCGTAAGAATTCAAATGGGGGAGAGAGAAATTGAAAGAGTGGGAGAGCTGGAGAAGAAAAGAGAGGTAGTGGAAGAAAGAGAGAAAGGGACAGTGAGGAAGAGACAGAGAGAGAGAAGCTGAGGATTGTGGTAGCGTCCAGGAGAGAGAGAGAGAGAGAGAGATGAAGGAATTGTGAGAGAGAGAGAAAAGAGGAGGCTTACGGCAAGAATTCTATTCTATAAAATATATATTATTCATCATTTACAATACTGGTCGTTGACTTTCTGAAGCTTCCTACCACTTAGCTTGATGTGGTCACTAAATTCACTGGGAAGTCACAGTTTTACGGTTGATGAGTTCGGTGAGATGAGTTTATGAGCTCAAAAGACTGCACCTTTCTCAATTAAGTATATACTGGCAAAAGGCCTGCGTCTCCAATTCACGAATCTCGCCACACATAACATCGACTCTGGCAAAGAAAATGTAATCATCTGCCCACAGAAACCATATTTTGTTTACTTGATGTTAACAATGTCCCTCAATTCAATTCGCTTTTTCTTAATGTAAAGATTTGTCTCCTTATAAGCACTAAATTATCATGTCCAACGGATATGTTATGTGGAATCAGGGGTAAATTTGAGGAATTTTTTCGAAATTGTGCAAGTCTTTTAATCTATGGACCTGAATTTAGGAGCGGTAAATAAAAGCAACCATCAGGTTGGACTTATTGTGATTTATGCTTATTTCAAGAACAGCTAAGCAGAACAGTTTGCCACGACTGTCGCTGTTTATTCAATTGTCTATGATTCATATTTGTGCATATTATAGACGACACCATGATTTAGTACATTTTTATACCCTACACTATTTGGGGCGCAAGGGCTTATCAAGTTTGTGCGAACGTATGCAACACCCAAAATGACTTGGGTCAGAGCCATCTTTTATTATACCGATCAATTCAGAAGGCGATTCTAAGCACGCTTGTCCTTCCGTCTTACTTGCTTTCTTGTGTTCAAGCTGCAGATGTTTTGGCCGAAGGACGATGACATTGAATTAAGGATGAATGATTGAAAGTGGTTAAGTCGGAACACTTTTTCGATATAAGAATGTGGGAATGGACGCAACGTCCCGAATGAGTTGCGACAGGGCCATCTTTTATTATACCGATAAATTCAGAAGGCGATTGTAAGCTTGCCTATCCCTTCCTCAGTCCCTGCTATGAATTAATTTT